CGGCCGCGCCAAACGGATATAAATATATTTATAAATATATCCACTCTGTTTCCCGCCTCAGTGATCTCAGTTTCTTTACTCTTATATGTTTGTAAATTGTACATTTTTTGCTTTAAAATTGATTGAATTATGTTGTTTTTATCTTCCGGTTAAGGGTTTTATGCCTTTAGTAAATCTGTATGCAATATTTTTTAGAATTATCAACAATCTTAAAATTGTTTTAGTGCCGCTAAGCCTAATTTGATGGCGGCCATTGCTCTTCTTTAGATTTGAAACAGCTGAGTAGCGGATTTGTTGCCAATTTAGAGAAACTTAGCTTCGCAACAACAAAGATAACGCCTTCATTTATTATTTAAATCATGCTTAATCCTTTCTGGAATTTTTTCGAGGAAATAAGCGTTTGAGATTTACTTCGTAATTTTTAATACAGATATTTTGAGTTTTTATGTATTTTTGCCTTGTCGCGAAGTGAAAACTGAATTAATTGAATGAGAAATACTCAATCGTCTGTGAAAAACTGTTCCTTTTTTGTTTTGTTTGCTTAATTTCTTTTATACATCATTCTGGCTTTATTATAGTATTTAAATAGAACATGTGGCAACGATTAGATAATTCTATTCTTTAAATGATAAATTTTGTGCATTATGAGTTATAATATGAATGAAATATAATACTGTTAAGTGAATCTAGCGCCAGAGTGTCCCTATGGTAAACAAATACTAGAGTGAATTTTAAAGAATGCATTTATTCTATTGTGGTTTATGCGCTGTCGGCGAAATACATTTAGTTTAATGCAATAAGTTTAAATGAAATGCAAGAGAAAATGTGTATAATTTAGTATTCCGTGCAAGGAAGTCATGCGGTGTACACATCAGATTTTTTTAAAACAAAATTGTGAATGAGAGTGATATTCTGGCCGAAATTTTGTACGCATATTTTATGAACACATATTGCATTTACTGAGTAGATGAACCCCGTGGGTAGACAACGAATACTTTAGAAAAATGCTGAAGAGAGTGTCAAGACAGCAATAGAAATTTCATTAAGCACGTCGGTGCTTCACAAGAGAAAGAATGTGAAATATCCTATACGGGAATTGAAGATTTTTTTTTATTTTATTTTCATTTTGCTATTATTATTTTCTTTCTCTCTGGCTCTTTGTCAAGTTGCTTTTCTTAAATAACTAAGATTGCAAAAGAAGTAAGCAATAAAACATGTGTATAGCTATTGTAGTTTGCTCCAGTAATAGATAGATATACGTATGGAGGACACTTATTATGCACAAACAATAAACTATCGTCTCACCATACTATTTCTTTAAGATAAAACACTAACTGATGGGTTTTACATTTTATTGTGGTACTTACAATTCAGTAGGTTATGAGGTATTTCTCTCGATTTCTTCGCGTGCCTTCGTGGTGTGGTAGTCTGCACGCTGGAGCTTATTCCAGAGGTCTGCGGTTCGATTCCCGGCGAAGGCGTTGCTAATTTTTCAAGTTTTCTTCTGCCAAAAAAATACCTAATGTTTCTGAATTGTTATTACAGTTCTGAATCGAAATCTAGAAATGAGATACTGCAGTTTGGAAATTGGAATTTGATAATGAGTGATGAATTCTCTTCGTCTGCGTGCCTTTTATCTTGTGCAAATTGTCCCCAACACAGCAGCATTTGCTATTATTATTGCATTTTAAGTTCATTTTACAAAGTTGCTATTATGATACTAATTATTATATTAAATAAATGCTAGCTCAAATAGCTCAAATAAGTGCGACATAATTTTGAAGAAAGAAGAGCTGTTTGGATAATGTCTATGGGTAACATAGTTCAGCATCGTAAGTGTAAGAAGATTCATTATTTTAATTATTTTTCACTTCAATGACTTGGTTTTTATCAAATACCTCTTAATAGGTAATAAGTCTGACGCCGGGACTTGCTGTAATGTGCAGTTCTTAGCCGACATTTAGAAACATAATGTTCAGAATCCCTTCTTTTCCCCACATATGCTGTTGTCAATGGGAGAAAGATTAATTTTGTAAAAAGATATGTTTAGAACGGACCGGGCCTATTCAAGTATTGGTTTAGAAATAAATTAGGTCTTTCTTTCTCGTATTCCTCTCTTAATAACAGAAACAGTGAAGGAACTACCGCGAAGTATTATTCTAATAAATACACGGTGTATCAGTACAGCTGTGACAAACTTTCAGGAGAGATATAGTACGATGGGAAATCACATAGCAATGCACGGTCGGAAACGCTTTCCTGACGTGGTACTGAAGACACAAAACGCAAAAGGGGAAGTCCGAGGTTCGCATCCCGCGAACGGGCTGGCTGCATGGGTTTTTCGTGGTTTTCCCCATGTGTAACGTGTATACGAGCCAATTTTCCCTTAGAAAGTCCTCCATGAAGGCATCACTTTCCTTAGGCAGATAGCCCTAGTGTGCTTTCCCATAATTAAATACACCAACACCAATATTCATTAGTCAGCACTTTTATATAATTTCACATGTCAGTAATTAATGACACATGTCAATCATAGGGTACTTCTTAAAATATCTTTACTAAAATTTATTATTCAAAGATTAAACAAATTAGTGCAAGCTGGTTTTGCAACTCTTACTATTAAGCAAGTTTGTATATCGAACATACATGATTTTCAGGATTTAATTTATCTCGGGTTAATGCAACTTTCCTATTCTAAAGCTTAAATTAATTTTAAAACTTAATTAAAAATGTCAGGCAAGGTCAAGGCTGTATGGGAGACGTGGCATCACTCTCCTACCAAGCTCCAGTAATTTCGTACTTGCTTCTAAATACGTGTGAGGCCTCGCCTTGTTATGGTGGAACACGATTCTTTTGCGATTTTCCAGGTCTGGCCTTTTCTCTTCGATTGCTTCCTCCAGTTTTATAAGCTATTGGCAGTAAACATCAGTGTTGAGCATCTGGTTGCTTTGAAGCAGCTCAAAATATGCAACACCTTTGAACCCCACCAATTTGACAGAAATTTTACTCTTGATATGATCTGTGGTAAAATCCTAGTATGCGCGATTTTGAAGATTGTCGCCAACCCTCGTTTACTGCTCATCATAATGTCGCCAAATCCTGTGTGTACCGTATAGTAGGTTTAAAACTGATTTGTGGATACATCATGCTTGGACTATGATATTTTACGATTAATCTTATTGTAGACGATCCATTTTTCATTACCAGTTGGTAGTTTGTATCAAAAAAGGGTTGATTGCATTACGTTTGATATGAGTATAGCAAACATTGATTCGCTGTGTTAAGTGAATTTCTTTCAATTTATGCGGAAACCAAATATCGAGTTTTTTAACCATTCCAAGATATCTTATGTTATTTTCAGAAATGAGCGATAGACTTAACCTTTTTTCAATCTCTTGTACAATTATGTGACGATTTAATTCAATTATGGCTTTAATTTGCTCATCATTTGCTTGAGAACTTCAGCCAGAATATTACTCATCTTCATCTGAAAACTCTTCAGAAGGAAATTTTTAAATCCGTTTTGACGGTCTTCTTTTAAGCAATCAGCATCATAAACTTCACGTATGTTTTGCTGCTTTATGTCCTTATGAAAAGAAAATATGTCGAAAATGTTTATTTTTGCATCCCATGTTAAAACTGACCATAAAGTAACAGTTGTAAATAAAAGTACACGGAATTTGTTTCTGTAGCAACCTTTAAGTGTCAGCTGCCAACTCTCGAAAGGAAAAAAAAATAAGAGATTGACAGATGAGTAATAAAAGGAACATAATACTGCTGAAATTACTCTTTTACCGGCCGAAGAATATTGTTTTGTACATATAATGCAAAAGAAAAAAAAATAAATAAATATGTGATGCCTATTCTAAACTTCTTATAAATTTGATTTTATAAGCATGATTATTAAAGTAAATAATTAAATGCAGTCATTTCCAGCCTTTCTCAGTCAACAAAAGGTTTTTAAAATATGATAAAAGACTTACTTTTGCGTGGTCTAGAAAGAGTACCGCCCACTTATCTTGATCCCTATATAATTGGCGTTTTTATAGATTTGTAAATGTTCTCTATGATTCCAATTATATACGTATGACCTAAACTATAGTGTCTCGTTTTAAGCGCAACATTTATGCAGTTGTTCAAAGGGAGTAATTTATATTTACCACAAATATCCAAGTTTCACTTCATATTTGGAAACTGATTCTTAGGAAAAATTGAGGCATATCTGAATTCTCACCAAGTGTGGAATATTGTACGCTTAAAATTCTTACGAATTACCCTTCGCTATTGATGGGTATTAAATTACCTTTCTTTTCTTTTTACATGCAATTAAATAAAATATTTAATGCCACTTTAAAAATATGCATAAGTTTTTTATACAGACAGTTCTTAATTTAATTGCGTTCTAACACATAAAAAATATAAAGGAAAATTCGAAATTTAGAGTTAATCTAGTTATTATTTAGTTTATTGCATTTCCCATTAGTCATTTGAAAATACTGTAATGGATAAATTTTGGTCTGAAAAAAATATATCATAAAGAAAAGAATTTTTCTGTGTGAAGAAGTCAAATTTCATTAATTATTTAAAACTTTAGACCCCCTTTCCTAACTTATTCAGGAGATCTTAACCCTAAATGTTTTGAAAATCGCTTGTTTTTATTTGTTATTTTTATCTGAAAGCGCATATTTAATGTAAGATCACATGAAATTTTTCATGTTTGCCTTTCTCCATAATGCTTTCACCACTCAATATTCTTTAAACTGATTTCACCAGTCATCCATTAAACACCAATCTATTGTAAATCTCTAGAATATGTATATTTATAATAAATTCTACAAATCAACAACAATTAGTGGGAAATTTTAATGTAAATATATTGCACGTATGTCAAAGCCACTGCTATTATTAACACACAGTAGTAATCTATGCCGAATTTTCAATTATTAAAAGTCTAAATCTTGTTATTTTTACCTAACTGAATTCTTAAATATCTGTTCGTATTCAATAGGTTTTACTGGGATTTGCTGATGTTGCTGGTGCTGGTTACAAATCTGATTGTGCTTCCAGTTGCTATTTCCTTTTTCAACGATGATCTGTCCACTCGTTGGATTGCCTTCAACTGTTTGTCAGATACACTCTTCCTCCTAGACATTGTCGTAAACTTCAGAACGGGTCAGTATATCTCTTCTGAACTTTTTTCTGGTTTTGAAGTAAAGTTATATGTTATAATTTTGGTACCATAAAATTGCTTTACCATACCTTTCAGGTATTCATATACAGTAAACGCAGCTTAAGAAGATTGCGGTTATTATTATCATTCGAATATTGTTATCAAAGTGCCGAAGTCCTACATTTTTGTATAACTTATGTGCCAAATGCCTGGCTAATTGGGATCAAAAATTAGATTAATCTGTTAAAATATTGCATAATAATTTTTTGAACTAAAGTAATGTCGTCAAATAAAACATAAAGTTGTCCGATAAGGTAAAAACTAGATTATAAAAATTGCAAAGTGACAGAGAAATGTCACCAAGGAAAAAATTAAGTCTCCAGACAACTTCGTTTTGATTCGAGTCAAACATTTAAATACAGGCAAAAGAATAATCTGAGTTTGGCGTAGATTTTGAATAACTCTATCGATTTTGAGAACAATCAACCACAGGATGCTTCTCTTCAGGAGCAAATATATTTCACCGAAATTCATTTTCCCTACTAAAAAAGAAAAAACTACCTTGAAAACATCTTTGGCAAACTAATCTTGTTTTTTTCTTTTTTTTCTTTTTTTTTTTTTTTTTTTCTGTTTTTTTTTTTTCTTGTTTTTTTTTTTTTCTTTTTTCTTTTTTTTTTTTTTTTTTTTGCCTAATATTAAACCTCACGTCAGCATATTTTCTCCTAATGAGTAATACCTTCCGAATATAAAGATTACGATACAGCATTGGTCAGATAGATTCCTGAAACAGCACGAACAGTTCATAAATGAACTTTTGCATTAAAGATATTATGAGCAGTTAATAAATAAACTTCTGCATTTTCTTAATTAAAATGCTTAGAAAGTACTTATTTATATGGTTCTAGTTTTATGTATATATATATATATTAGTTGAATTCCATTGCTATTTTGAAGAATAATGTTATGAATTTCGTATATATGCAAATAACTTTAATGAAAATATATGTGAATTTGCAGTATATGTTGTGTAATGTGACATGAAAGACCTCAAGAAGCAAAACTCGGCCCGAAAAACAATGTTACAGAGGCAGGTCCGTTTAAAATTGAGGTAAATAGCCATCTCTCGTATTTGGCGAGATAGCGCCAAAATAATAAAGGTTTTGGCGACTATATTTTATTGAAAAATAGGGCTATAAATCGCCAAATGTTGCCAAACAGGGCGGCCATTAAGCTACATTTTGGTTAGACCACTGTGTAACTATAATTATCAGACCTCTATATGTAACTGTACCTGTATATACCCTATATGTAACTGTAACCGTATATACCTTCCAGCAGTTTCAAAAAGTGAAAGTACTGGAAATTTCTTTTCGGACAAGGAAACTATGTAAGAAAGCACCAGACTTCGGAATACTGAGAGATCTCCGTGCGAGCATTGCCGGAGCCATACACGCATAATAAATTTCGTTACGAAACATACACACATAATAAATTTTGCTGTCAAGCGTGCGATTGAATGTCAGTCATAAGAGCGATGGATGAGCAACTGAGACAGTGGTGACAACCTTTGCAACCTTAAAGATAAGAGGAGAACAAGCCAAGAAAAAATAGAAGAATCCGTCAAATGAGTCCAAGAAGAGATTAAAGAGAGCCAATGAAAGATCGAAGTGGTCAAAGAAAAGATGGAATGGACCGTCAAATTAGTTCAAGAAAAATTGAAGCAGGTCAGCAAGAAATGAAAAGAGGAATTAGTGCTGTAACAGAAAGCACATTCTAGGCTATGTAAGTCAGAATAGATACAGTTAAAACGTAAGTTGAAGAAATCGAAAAAAGAGTTTCTGCAGTCGAACAACAAATCGATGACAGAGTTTCTGCTATTGCTAAGGAAGTTGAAACCTTGAAGAAATCAAATGAGAAAATGGAAACAATTTTTACGCCTTTAAATTCCTAGCCATGTCTTCTCGTCCATTTCCAAAGCAATCCACATATGATGGACACAACTCCTAGGAAGTTATGCTCACCAGCGGCCGAGCGGTAAAGACGCTGAACACTGGTAGTTAGGTCCGAGGTTCGAATCCCGCGAACGGGCTGGCTGCATGGCCGTTTTCATGGTTCCCCATGTGTAACGTGTATACGAGCCAGTTTCCCTTAGAAAGTCCTCCACGAAGGCATCCCTCCCTTTAGGCAGATAGCCCTCGTGTGCTTTGCCATAGTTGAATAATCCCAATCCCTAGGAAGTTATAAAGTATTTCTCCCGCTTTTCTAGTGTGCCTTCGTGATGTAGTGGTTCTGCACGCTAGGCCGGTTCCAGAGGTCTGTGGTTCGATTCCCGGCGAAGGCGTTTGCTCATTTTTTATTTTTCCTGCTACCAAAATGTACCTAATGTCTCTGAAATGTATTAGAAGATGACAGTGGTGGATGCAAATGGAGATGTTTCCGAAGCTAAGGTCTGCCACCTCACTGCTTCTCTGACAGCAGACACAGTGGTTATCCATGAATATCATCCCGAAAACCAGAGGCTAGATTTCGAGTTCTATCTGGCGCGTTGCCTAGCTTTAGCGAAAAGTGTTTAAAAGACTATAACAGGCTTCGTTAAATTAACATAATAAACGATTATTTTGATTAGTCAAGAACATTAAATTAATTGTTTAAGATAAATTTCACGTAAACAAAAAATTGTTTCTGTGATGTTCCAATCTTAGCATAACCGTTGCAAATCAATTATAAATTAATGTAAGAAATTAACATAATTACACATTTTATAGACACTAATTTTAAATTCTCTTTAAGGCAAAATTAATTTTTACACTAGTATAAATAAAAATATAAGATAACTCACAGTTTTCGTAATCCATCATCACTGGGAACTGCTGAATATCGGCGACTTTAACGGAGGATCACTTTATTGAGCTCATGATTCAGTCCTTCACCAATCCGCTCAAATTACGAGTTCAAGAAAAATTACATCTTGCACAAAATATAAATGAATTCTACGTCTTACATATTTTCGCTCATCACTACCGAATAACGATATCTTAATTTCATCACTCCATATAACTTGTGACCACTGATCATCTGTCCAATTAATGTGTTCCTTTGCCCACTGTAGTCTTTTTTTTTCGTTGCTGAAAATTAAGATAAGGCTTTTTTCGTGGAATTCTACCTCTCAGTCCAACATCTGTTAATCTTCTCCTGATTGTTCTTGAACTGACAGAAACACCAGCATCATTCAGATCGCTTCTGATGGCCGCTGATGACATTTTTCTATCTTGGAAACATAGTCTTCTTATTCTTCTGTCATCAATAGATATGATGCATCTTTTTCGGCCTTTTCCTTCTTTGTTTTTTTATTGAATTTGTCTCCTGATATCGTAAACAAAACTTTCGGACTCCAGATGTAGTCACTGAACCACCCACCTGTCTTGCAATTTCAGCATAGGAAAGACCACTTTCTCGTAACACAATAATATTACATCTCTTCTGGGTGTCCAATCTACTCTTTTATTTGATGTCATTGGTTCTTGACTAAATATTAAAATTTTTTACAAAAATTCCTACTTGTAATTGCAGTGTATAAGAAACAGGTCCTCCTTCTACAGAACAAAGCAAAATAATGAATTGTTTCAAGTGTAAACATGATGTCAGCTAGACATTACAAACCACTTCATAACTGTGTTTTTTATTTATATTTAAGTACACATAACTTTTTTTGTTTTGCAAATAATTGAATTTTGTGTTTTGTATTGAATTCACTAATTAATTCTCTTTAAAACGATATATACAAGTTTGCATTTTGCGAAACGTAACATTTTCTATAAGCATACAAAGTTCAAAAACATAAAAATTTCCAAAAGTGTCCACAATTTTGGCCACCACTGTATGTTGTGCGTAATAATTCGTTATTTAGATGTAATTTGTTTACATGTTATAATTCAGTAATGTAGACTGGATTTTCTCGCTTAGTTTGTTAACGTATATTCGCTCTTTTATTTTCTTATTTCAAAGAATTAAAGGGTAAAGGGCAGAATCGCCTTTTACTTGTTTGGTGTTCGTTTGGCGCTTTTTACAAGAGTAAGAAATGTTGGATTTTTGTCAATTTTCTTGGACATTTTAAGTGAGAATTGGTCGATGTGTACATGGATAAAGTCAAGGAAGTGCGAAGTGCCATTTTTGTGCAATTCTGGGATTTTTTTAAGTGAAAATAGGTCTATGTGTATATGGATACAGAGTATGTCAATTCTTAAAAACGCGCCAAGCAGTGGGTGATTCTGCACTTTCTCCCTTATTTTAACACAGTAATTACTTTACATTGCACATATACTCCACGAAGGGTGTACTCCAACTGCGCTGATGAAAATCCCCACCTCGTCCTTCTATAGTCCAACTGCGTCGATCAAAATTTCTTTCGCCCGTTGCCTACAGGGTTACAATATTATTTTTCGAAGTCAACTGTAGCCAAGTAGAAAATAAAAATAAAGAAATATATTTTTTATAAATGAATAGTGGATTTGTTGCCAATCTAGAGAAACTATGCTTCGGTAACAACAAAGATAACGCCTTCTTTTATTATTATTGCGAATTAAGTCATGCTTAATCCTTTCTGGAATTTATTCCAGGAAATAAGTGTTTAAAATTTACTTCGTAATTAATACAGATATTTTGAGTTTTTATGTATTTTTGCCTTGTCGTGAAGTAAGAACTGAATTAATTGATGAGGAAACACTGAATTGTCTGTGAAAAATCGTTTCTTTTTTGTTTGTTTAATTTCTTTTATACATCACTTTAGATTTACTTTTGTTAATTGCTCTGTAACACAAAAGAAATTTTCAGACTTTCGTAATACTCTTGCAGGCATTAAATTCATCTTTGTAACAACATGTGGCGCTACAAGGCATTCTTCATGAGCACAACTATTGGCTCTGACTTTTTTCACCCCTACAACCGGAAGTCAGTGTATATTACTTAAATAGCTAAATTTTCAATCAGTTCCGAACGATTCTTT